TATTTTGGGCTTTACATATGATCTATAGTAGAGATATTTTTATTTTTTAATAAAGTTCAGGATTTTTTTTTTTTTTTTTGAGACAGAGCCTCAAGCTGTCCCCCTGGGTAGAGTGCTATGGCTTCACTGCTCACAGCAACCTCCAGCTCCTGGGCTTAAGCGAGTCTCCTACCTCCACCTCCCAAGTAGCTGAGACTACAGGCGCCCGCCACAACGCCCGGCCATTTTTTGGTTGCAGCCGTCATTGTTGTTTGGCGGGTCCGGGCTGGGGATTCGAACCCGCCACCGTAGGTATATGTGGCTGGCGCCTTAGCCGCTTGAGCCACAGGCACCGAGCCAGGATTGTTTTTTAAAACATTTTTTGTTTGTTTGTTTTGAGACAGAATCTCACTATGTTGCTCTCAGTAGAGTGCCGTGGTATCACAGCTCATAGGAACCTCAAACTTGAGGTTAAACGATTCTCTTGTTTCAGCCTCCCACATAGCTGGGACTACAGGTGCTCACCACAATGCCCAGCTATTTGTAGAGACATGGGACACGGTCTTGCTCTTGCTTACGCTGGTCTCGAACCTATGAGTTCAGGGAATCCACCCACCTTGACCTCCCAGAATGCTAGGATCACAGGCATTAACCACTGCACCTGGCCATTAAATATATCTTCCTTTATTTTATTATTATTTTTTTTTGAGACAGAGTCTCACTATATTGCCCTCAGTAGAGTGCTCTAGTGTCACAGCTCACAGCAAACACAGAATTGCTTAAGCAATTTTCTTACCTCAGCCTCCCAAGTAGCTGAGACTACAGGTGCCCAGGCTTTATTATATTATTTATTTTCTTTATGCTTCTTTATGTTTTCTTCTATTGCTTTTAATAATTGCTGCTAAAATTGGAAAATACGACATTCTTTTTTTTTTTTTTTTTTTTTTGAGACAGTCTCACTGTGTCCCCCTTGGTAGAGTACCATGGTGTCACAGTCCACAGCAACTTCAAACTCTTGGACTTAAGCAATTCTCCTGCCTCAGTCTCCCAAGTAGCTGCGAGGACAGGTGCCCACTTCAACGCCCAGCTATTTTTTGGCTGTAGTTGTCATTGTTTGGGTCAGGCTCCAGTGTATGTGGCTGGCGCTCTACCCGCCGAGCTACAGGCACCAAGCCAGAAAATACTATATTCTTATTAGATAGAAATGTAGAATTAGTGTACTACTCTCCCCCATCGTTCCTAATTCTGTTGTGTACCTTTTATTTATCTAATGATTCATTTGTAGTGTTTTGCCAGGCTACTACAAATACATGCTTTTTTTCATGGTTAGTGTTATTATCTGTGTTATTATTTTGGTGGAATTTCTTGCTTTTAATACCATGTGTGTTATTGTAATAGGGTATTTTATTTTATTTATTTATTTTTTTGAGACAGAGTCTCAAGCTATCCCTGTCCCCGAGTAGAGTGTCGTGGTGTTATAGCTCACAGCAACCTCCAACCCTTGTGCTCAAGTGATCCTCTTGCCTCAGCTTTTGTATTTTTGGTAGAGACGAGCTCTCAGTTTTTGCTCAAGCTGGTCTTGAACTCATGAATTCAAGCAGTCCACCTGCCTCAGCCTCCCAGAGTGCTAGGATTACAAGCATAAGCCACCTCGCCCAGCTGTGTATTTTATTCTTTAAAATAGCAATCATTAAAGAAGTCATTTTCCTTATCACCTTTAGTATCATATGCTTTTAAAGTTATCAGCCTTGATTTTTGTTGTTGTTGTTGTTGTTTACATTTGCTCCTTCTTTTTTTTGAGACGGAGCCTCAAGCTGTCCCCCTGGGTAGAATGCCATGACATCACAGCTCACAGCAACCTCCAATTCCTAGACTCAAGCGAGTCTCCAGCCTCAGCCTCCCAAGTAGCTGGGATCACAGGTGCCCACCACAATGCCTGGCTATCTTTTGGTTGTAGCCGTCATTGTTGTTTGGCGGGCCTGGGCTGGATTTGAACCCACCACCTTAGGTGTATGTGGCTGGTGCCTTAGCCACTTGAGCCACAGGCACCGAGCCACATTTGCTCCTTCTTAATCTCTTTTGCTGATTTCTTCTCTCTTGCCAACTGCCTTAATTTTGGAGTGCTCTAACATTCATTTCTTGCTCTTCTCCTTTTTTTTCATAACCTTTAATTCATTCTCTTGGTAATATAGTCTCTTTAAATACTATCCATATGCTCACTACTCCCAATTTAAAATTTCTAATTTAGGGAGGCACCTGTGGCTCAACAGGTAGGGTGCTGACCCCATATACCAAGAGTGGCAGGTTTGAACCATCCTGGGCCAAACTGTAAAACAAAAAAAATAGCCAGGCATTGTAGCGGATGCCTGTAGTCCCAGCTACTTGGGAGGCTGAGGCAAGAGAATCACCTAAGCCCAGGAATTGGAGGTTGCTGTGAGCCATGACGCCACGGCACTCTACCGAGGGCGATAAAATGAGATTCTGTCTCTAAAAAAAAACAAACAAAAAAACTTAAAATTTCTAATTTAGACCTCTCTTAAGCTCCATCTGCCTACTCAGTGCCCTCATTTCAAAGTCTAAAGGATACCTTAAATTTAATATGCTCAAAACTAAACTCCAGATCTTTCATATTTTGCTGCCCAAACCTCCTCTACTATTGTTGATGGCTATTTTATGCTTCTACTGCTCAGACCATAAACTTTAATGGTGTTCTTATTTCATCTCTATCACATTTCACATCCAGTCTTTCAGGGTATTCTCCTATATCTACTTTATAAAATACACTTAAGATCAGACCACTTCACTATGCCTCCACTGCTGTCTCTCTGGTCTGAATCACTGTCATCTCTCACCTAGATTACTGTAGCAATAAATCATATATAATAATTGCTTCTCCCCTTCTTTTCCACCTTCCAGTGTTTTCATAAAGCAGCAATTAGATATCATTCCTCTATTCAAAGCACTTCAGTGGCTCTCCATCCCACTCAGAGTCAATACCAGATTCATTAGAAGGCCTATAAACGTAATCTGATTACCCTTTACCTCCTGACTTTTTTTTTTTTTTTTGTAGAGACAGAGTCTCACTTTATTGCACTTGGTAGAGTGCTGTGGCATCATAGCTCACAGCAACCTCCAACTCCTGGGCTTAGGTGATTCTCTTGCCTCAGCCCCCTGAGTAGCTGGGACTATTGGCGCCCACCACAATGCCTGGCTATTTTTTTTTTTTTGTTGCAGTTTGGCTGGGGCTGGGTTCAAACCCCCCACCCTCAGTATATGGGCCCAGCACCTGACTTATTATTCCTTTACTATTCACTCTTCTCTAGCCACACTGGCCTTCTTACCATTCCCCAGACACAGCAGATAGGCTTTTACTTTGAGGTCTTTAAACTAGGTGTTTTTTCTGCCAAGAATGCTTTTCTTCCGGAGATCTGAATGACTGATTTCTTCACTTCCTTCATATCTTTACTTAAGTGTTAGTAACTTATTTATTTATTTATTTATTTATTTATTTTTTGAGACAGAGCCTCAAGCTGTCCCCCTGGGTAGAGTGCCGTGGCATCACAGCTCACAGCAACCTCCAACTCCTGGGCTCAAGCGAGTCTCCTG